TTTCACAACCAACTCTACTGGAAACATTATTATTGAGCAACGTTGCTGGGACCTTTGGTTTAGTAATATCTGCATGTCTCTTTCTACCTCTGGGTATAGGGCTAGACTGATCCCACTTTTTCTTGGGATCAGTCTAGCCCAGAAACCCTTAGCTACTCCCTTCTGCCCTCAGTCCTGGGATTGTCCTCTTCTTTGGGGCAGGCTACTGGCTGAGGTTCTGTGCCTGCTGTCCTGGCAGCCACACACATCCCCCTTCCTCTACCAGACACCCATTAAATCCACTTCTAAGATGTCTGACAGTCTCCTTTGAGCTCTCTGGTTTAGTTCAGGCTCTGAATTACTGCTTTCTCACCCACTTGAACTTCGTGCTCAATTTCATTCCTTAGATCTTCCTAAGACCCAAGACAAACATGTCATCCCTGCACTTTGTAGGCCTGAGAGGTTCCCAGGGTGTACAGAGTGTTGTCACAGGAATCCTCAGCCTTCCACGACTTTGCCTACGCATTTCCAGACACATCTTCCCTTATATTCCTGCTGCCTGCCGGAGAATGTGGTGAAAAATCAATTTTCACCGATTTTTTCATGCTGGTCGAGGGACCTTGTGTTTGACCCCTTGACTTGGCTGTTGCTAGAAGTCTCCCTCTCTCTGCCCCTCTCCATTAAAACCCTATACTTATTTCTCAGATTAGCTCAAAAGTTGCTGTCTCATGATTGCCTCTGCAGTTCTTTCTGTTATGCTTGAATTCAGGACCCCCAAAAGACCACCAGAGACCCAAGATCGATGTAAACAGCAAAGAGGTGTTTATTGCGAGCTAGCTCGGTCCTCCGCACGCACATAGCAACTGTTGACACCAAGAGGCCCCGAGCCCAGGGTTTGCTGCAGTTTTATACATTCTTTGGGGAAGGCAGGGACCCCCACATACATCATAGCATCTCTTAGCAAATCATCACATATCGCGGGAAAATCAAATAACAACTCTAAAACATGATTAGCACATTCACTGGCGGGAACAAGTTGGGTAGGGGTGATTGGTTACTACAAGAGGGGGATTTATTTGAACTGATTGGTTTAAGCCAAGAGGGGTGTTCGTGCTGAACTACATGGTTTCCCAACACCATAAACTCCTGGGAGGGTCGTCTGGCATCCCAGATATTTCCATGTCTCATGCTGATTGGTGGCTGCTAGGGGGTTGCTATGGGTCCCCACCTAGCCTGTCAGGGACACCTGGCGCAGCAGATCTCTCCTGTTATTTGTAGATAAACAACTTAGCAGGGTGGGAATGTGCCTAGGAGTGCTCTGTGGGTCTTTCCAAGGACAAAGGTCATGTCCCTTCCTTGGACAGGCTTTGCTCTGAGGTAGAGGCTGGTTTTTCATTTCCAGTCAAAATGAATATAGTTCTCCCTTGGTATAGTTTGTGTACAAAATGGGTGTATGGGGAGTGATTTTTTTTTTTTTTTAAGATCAACTCCCGGGTCTCATGCATGCTGGAGTGTTCTACTAGAGCTACATCCAGAGTCCTGGAACCAAATATTTTTTTAAATAGGGGAAAAACGAACCCATTCATACACTGAAAGTAAAGTATCCCCAGAGGGAGAGTTTTCCATTGCCAACGTGATAGGATCTGGATGAAGGAATCATGAAGGGGCGGGAAGGAAAGATCTTCATTGCAAAGGGCAGGAAGGATGGATCCAGATTCCTCTGCTTGCTCCCTAAAGGTCATCCTAAAAGAGGAGTGATGAGGGCTGTCAGTGCTTTGAGACGCTCCGTGGGTATTTTGAAATAGCTGTGGCGAAAGAACAGACCGGCCTGCTTATTAGATTGAAGAGCAGTTATTAATTCTGAACTTGCAGTATGCCCTGGCCCTGCGGTTTCAAGGGATTTTATTTCATGTGGTATTTAGAACTACACTGTGGGGCGATCGTGTCTTCATTTTCCACACGAACAATTGTGACCTCACAAGGGATGAGTAATTTGCTCAAGACCACACAGCTAAAGAGGGGCGATACCGGACTTCAGCCCCAGGAACTAGGCTCTGGAATCCGCCCTTCAACCTCCAAGCAGGCGCAGCGCGCGTGGCGTTACCCAGAATTCTCCGCGCCGCGGAAAAGACCACTAGCTCAATGTTCCGGGGGAGTTCTGGGAGGTGTCTGTAGCGTTAAAAGGGCTGGAAGTGCGGTGAGTTTTTGCCAGATCACCCTTTCTTATGTGAGGAATGGGATATTCCGACATCTTAAGGTCCATGGACTCTGCAGGATCGGTCTTTTCACTATGGACTTTGTGGAGGTAGGATGTTTTATCGTGTACGGTTGGGTGTTGGTGGCAAGGACGAAAAGAACTGGAATCTTTTTGTTTCCGGAAGCTTGGTGAAAGGGGCTGGTGTTGTAACGGCGTTTCTCCGTGGCGCCGATGTCCACGTGGGCTTTGTGGCTGACTCTGCGTCCGGGTGTCGGGACTCTCACCGGACAGAATCAGGCCACCGTGGACCGAGGGTTATAGACCGCGTGTTTTTTCTGCAGGGCTACCGCGGCAGGCCCCTCGGGTCCGCAGATTTAAGGACCCAGAACTCCGGCCCGCCATGAGGACTGCGCAAACATGATAAAGCTGGGTAAGTTGGGGTCAGCCTGCAGCTTGGAGTCCACCGCGTGTGGACGGATTTCAGTGGGACCGTAAGGGAGATCTGTTTGGCTGTTCTGATGATACGAATAATAGGAAGTGCCGTCAGAAGCGACAACTGACGATGTTTATGCTCGTCTGACCGCAGTCGCAGAGATGCAGTGATTTAGCTGAATATTACCGCTAGAATCTGCCCTCAATTTCTCTCCTTTTTCCATGTGTTTCAGATGGCGGGCTTAATATAGAATATTGAAGGGAGCGGCCTGTCATAAGGTAAGCAAGCCCTGGTCTGGGAAGTGATTAATATTTGATGAAATTGTAACTCAGTTGTCTTAAGCATTCAAGTTGGCATTTTAGTTTTGTACATTTAGCATTATGGAATGTGTCATTGCATAAGGTGGACCTTCAGAAGCTGGAGAGGGATGCATTAAGCTGCATCTAGGAACTTGTTTTTCTTTTATTTTTTAACTCGGGGATGCTTTATCATTGAGCTGTATTGTATCCCTGACCTTTTTAAATTTTGAGACTAGGTGTAAGTTGCCTAGGCTGGGCTTTGGTGTTTCTGCCTCGTCCTCCAGCATAGCTGAGATTACAGGTGTGGGCCACCGGGTCCTCTCTTTTTTAATGTAGTGCTGAGGATCGGACCCAGTGCCTCACATGCTGCGAGGTGAGCGCTCTACCACTGAGCCATAACTCCAGCCCCTCCAGTGGGTTTTTAAGGCAATGTTAGTTTTGTTTTTGACAATATACAGGTCTCTGGAGCAATATTGGAGAGTAGTGAGGTGTTGACTGCTCTGATGAAACCACTAATAATAGGAAGTGCCGTCAGAAGCGATAACTGACGATAATTATTCCTGGCTGACTGCAGTCAACAAGTCTTTACCATTTATTGGTGCCCAGGATAAAGTTGGTCTGAACTGTGACAATTGCTATATTCACTCAGGGTGCATATTAGCAGAAGGAACACCAGCAGCTGAGTTTTGGAGCCTGGAACATTTGTCTTTTCGTGAGGTAAGCTTTGGCCTCTAGAGAGAGTATAGTGACCTTTATTGGTGATATTCTGGAAATCCTGAGTGGCATGCATAGCCGTAGAGGGGTTCTCAGTTTACCTCTTGGTGATTTAATAATCTTGAACCAATTTACCTATCTGTTCTGAGGTATAGTTTTCCTTATTTGTCAGAAGGAACCATAATCTTAGGTATGTGAGGTTTGAAATGTGACTGAGTAGAGTTACAGCTTCCAGACAAGCTAATTAGGACTTATGTAATTCAGTAATTTTACAAAAAAAAAAATCTCTTCTGTAAGGTCTTAAAGGGCTTTTTTTTTTTTTTAAATTAAGTTGCTACTCAGGCTAAAAGAAATGCCTCTCCTGCTTCTGTGGTCTTTAGGTGCTTTGCTTTATCCATTCTCAGGATTTTGGAATGGAGCCCTGAAGTGCAGGTTATAGACCTGGTGGCAGCACCTAAGCCCTGGAGGAGGTAAGCCTTGATCTACACAAAAATTACCTTATTAGTAGAATGATAAAGTGGCTAGTTGTTTTAAGTGACTTAAAAGGATATCAAATGATGAAATCACCTAAAATAGCTGGAATTACCGGCAGATTGGTAGTGGTGAACCTACGGTTTTCTGAAGATATCATTGCTCTTTTGAATGACTGCTGTTAATTGGAGTAGAAAGTAAGATTGAAATTTAGTTTCTTTGCAGGCTGTATCTCCCAGAGGATGATCAGTTCCGGGGATCAGTAACTACCATTGATTTGGATTCTGAAAATCTAAACAGCTTCAGCATTTGGAAACGTGGTCACCTTGTGTATCAGGCTGTTCACAAGAGATCATTCAACAGGCCCGATTGGTGTCGTTACCCCACCCAACAGGAATTTCTATACCTTTTAATCATTTTATGTGTACACATTGGTTGCCCTTATATTGGAAGGGTGAGATCTTTAAGCCAAAAATTGTTTCTCTTGAATATAATGTCTAATACCATAATAAACAATGGTCTTTGGTGATTCTTGAATATGCATATTTGAAAAACAAGTTCAATTTTACTTTTGTCAGGTATTAGCACTCATCTTGTAAACTTCTGGTCAGTCTAAGCTGTTTTCCTTTTAACAACTGTAGACTTAACAGGGAAAAATTTCCAAAAGCGTTTAAGGCATTCATACTTGATTCCAACCAATCCCTGCTGCCCATAGTCTATTTCCTTCCTGGGTATGATCTTTTCTATTTGCCAGGAGGCCAGGGGTCACTTGTAGCTAGCTAGTGCCGATCTTGTGAGGCTTTGCTTCCCTATACTTGCTTGCCTCAATATTGTGATTGTATCTGGTCTTGAGAATTCATTTGCTCCCAGTCTCTGGGCATGGGTCTAGGGGTTACTTGGGATTAAAAGTTGAGTATGGGGGCAGTGGACCAGGTGAGTTAGGCTCTTGGTTTCCAGTTTTCTCCTTAATAACCGCCATAGGCTCACTGGTCATGGGATTTTTAGGAATGCCCTCATAAGTTAGGGGGTTGAAGCCAGAGCTTCAAGTGGTAGGCAAGTGCTCTGCTATTGAGCAAACATCCTTTGCATACAAGTTTGAGCTGTCCTCAGCCTGTGAATAACAATGCTGGCTAAGGATCAAGATTTCTGATGGGTTTTCCCATGCATGCCTGTGTGCATAGGCACTTGTCACCACAGGATGCTCTAAATATTTTAAGGTGTGGTGAGAGCTGGTTTTAGGAGCAGGTCCCTGGACCTGGAAGCTAAAATGTGGGAAGTCAGTTCCAAACCTGAGACCCAGCAAGAAGAGCACCTTCCTTAAGTCCATGCTTAGCATAGCTAAGAACTAGGCTCCAACCTCATTAAGTTGGACTTAACATCTGGGTGGAATTTGCTTCCCCATGTAGGACAGAACTGGGATGGCAGGGGCCTGTCTGCTGTTTGGAGAAAAGCTCTTGGTAACATTGGCTCAAGCTTCATCATCTCCAAACCTATGCTTTTCCCAAATCTGAGGAAGCCAAGGACTGAGCTGTGGGGTACCTGGAGCCCCTTGAGCTAGGGGTGAGTTATTGGGAGCCAGAAGGCAGATGCTGGGATTGGAGAGATGGAAAGGACCAAAGGGAAGTAGTGCACGAATCCCTCTTTCCCAGGTACTAGGGTCTGCTCTTCTGCGGGGGAGGCTGCTGTAGCCCCAGCCTCCTGATGGGAGGAGCCCCTAACTTGCCTCAGCCATCCTGCTCTATAGACTCCCTGGTGAGGCTTATCACTTACATGTCATGTCTGAGTCACAGCCTCTTTGCCCTCGTGGTGGTCTTTGGCAGGTGACACAGGGCCCCCTCCAGGGTCCTCCTGGCCCAATGTCCCTTCCCGAATCTCCTCCCCACTGCCTGGCCCCTCACCCAGTTCCAGGATGGTGGGTAGGTGGCCCTGTTTGGGAGACCGCTTGCGCAGGCTGAGCAGGAAGGGCTGGGGCAAAGAGAAGATGTCCACATTGTTGCCCAGATCTATCCATGTGACATTGGGGAACTTGCTGGGGTCCTTCAGGGTGTCAGTAAGGTCACGCAGCAAAGCCCGGGTCAGCCGATTGCCATTGAGGGCTAGTGTGGTGAGGCGGGGCAGGGTGCTGAGTGCTGGCAGCAGTTGCAGGACCATGTCATCGGTGAGACCCGTGAAGCCCAGCTCCACGCTGTCTACTTGCTCCCCACAGCGCTGCAGGTAGGTGGTCACTCGTTCCAGGTCACGGGAGGTCAGTGGGATGCCAGACAGGTCCACTGTGTTGTCTGGAGGATTCCCAGCCAGGACAGCCTTGAGGCTTAAAAGGAAGGGACAGCAAGTGAAGCAGACTTCCTTGAGAGGCAGAAACAGCCACCACCATGGAGCCAGCCTCTGCTTAGCTAATTCTAGGGATCATTTTCACAGACTTGCAGATAAATTACAAACGCAGAACTAGGAGAAAACGGGGACATCCTGTGTCCTGGCACTGTTGCATATCTCTAGCAGGCTGGGTGGAGTGGTCTGAGGCTGCCATTCCTTCAGGACCACAAGGGAAAGTTCCAGGCTTCCATATGATTCGTGTTTGCATCTTAGTCGCCTTTATGTTACTTAACCTTTTAGGCCTCAGTTACTTCAAAAATGGAGCTAAGAGATAGGGTTGTTAAGTGGAATAACAAATGCAAAGCATTTAATGGTGCTTTTGTAAGGGAGTGATGGATAAATGTTTGTCATTATTGGTCACTTGGGCTGAGCTTCTTTTCTCACCACTCTTGGGTGGTAGTTGAGCTGACCCAAGAATGGCACAAAGTTTCTCTGAGGTCCCATCTTCTCCACCAGTTGGGAGATCCTCTGGCAGAGGCCTGCAGGACCGTAGGCAGAGGAAGCACAGGGGCTCCGAATCTGGTGGCAGCTGCTGCCTCCTGGAGGCTCAGTGCTCTCTATTTCCACTCCTTGTCAGCTATTGCTTTTTGCCCTCTGTTGCCCTGCTCCTTGTTCTGGAGCCAGGGCCCAGGCTGCTCAGCCTGATGAGGAGTGTGCCCACCATCCTGTTGTGGCTGGCTTCAAGGCTCAGACACAGTGGTGAAATTTCCAAGTGCCCAGGCAAGCCCTGAGTCCCAACCCTGGGAAGGAAAGGGCGGTGGAAGGGGCTCACAGCTTGCTCTGTGAGCATGTTAATACCAGCATCTCAGGGGTCACAGATTTCCTGGCAAAACCAGGTAATTTCCTATTCTTAGGGTCTCCTGGGAGATTGGTCATAGCTGGCTCATTTTGCTGCTTCTGATTAGGGGCTAGCCCAAGGAGCTTGGAGGTAAAGCCCTCAAGGCATGAGGCTTCACTGCCTGGAATAACGCCTGGCATTTGTTCATGACTTCTTTTATCAATGTTAGTAACAAAGGAGACACATCACATCAGGGAAACAAGGGTGGTGAACAGCTCTGCACTGGAGTCAAACCTGAGCTTGAATCTGGCCCTGCTAATTACCAGCTGTGAAATCCTGGCCAGTCAAATGGTAACAGTGACAAGTCCCTACCTCATTCATTCCTTTAACAGATGTTTATTAAGCTCCTATTATGTGCCAGTATTGTTCTAAGTACTGGGACCACAATGGTGAACAAGATGGGCAAGATTCCTTCCCTTCCCTCTCCATCACACATCCCACCACACATCCAGGATCCCTTTCCAGCTCCTCACAGACACCTGGAATGCCCTCCTGGCTGCTTTTCCTATCCTTAAATTCTTCTGGAACTCACTGCCTTCAGGCTGCTTTCCTGGACACCCCACTGCCCTCATCCCTTCTCCCCCTGCCCTGGAGAGTATCATAGCAGGATGGGAAGGAGCATGGCAGACTTGCTTAAGGGGACCACCACTCACCAGGCTTGTGGCTTCCTCTTCACCATCCCTCGGTGCCGCCTCCACTCAGAGTGGGGGCTGAGGTGATAGGTCAGCTGTCGGCATAGCTTCTCCATGGCACCTAGTGCGTCTCCTTCCTGCAGAGGCAACCATAGGTGTGGGACCATTAGTGTCAATGAAATGGTCAGAGGTGCACAGGCTCTCACATCCCCAGGCTTCCTGTCTTCTTGGGACAAGCACAGCACTCCGAGGCTGAGCAGGGGAATATCTGCCCTGCTGGCCCTGGATGGGTGCCCCCTGCAGGGTGCAGTGGGTATGAGCTTGTCTGCACAGTGATTTAGTTTGTGTGCACTGATGGAAAACTTCAGATTTATATTTAAAAAAATCTGGATTCCAGGCATTCTGGCAATAACTGGCTGGTGGTGAGTATCAGCTGATCCCTTTGACTGGGATTTACCACAGCCCCTGCCACTCCCCAACATCCAGGGCCACTCTGTTCTCTCGCTTGCTCAACAAATACTTATTGAGCACTTAGTAGGTGGCAGGCTCTTATTCTAGGAAGCTGGGCTGCAGCCATGAGCAAATGTCCTGGTTCTTGTATATGACACAATAAAGAGAAAAGTGAAATATTTTTATCTGTCTCTCTTAAAAGTGGGAAAATAAAAGACTGAGAGGACCAAGTCTAGCTCAGCCAAATTCTTTCATCTATATTACTTGTCTGACCCATCAACATCTGAGTTTGAGACCCTGGGCATTATGGGCTGAACTTTGTACCTCTAAAATTTCTATGTTGATATCCTAACTCCCAGTTCTGAAGAATGTGATTGTTTTTGACATAGGGCTTTTAGCAAGGTAATTAAGGTAAAATGAGGTCATGGGTGGATCTTAATATGGCTGTTGTCCTTATAAGAAGTGATTAGGGGGCTGGGATTGTGGCTCCGCGGTAGAGCGCTTGCCTAGCACAGGTAGGACCCGGGTTTGATCCTCAGCACCACATAAAAATGAAGGCATTGTGTGTGTCAATCTACACCTAAAAAATAAATATTAAAAAAAAAGAGAAGTGATTAGGGGGCTGGGATTGTGGCTCACTGGCAGAACACTTGCCTAGCATGTGTGAAGCACTGGGTTTGATCCTCAGCATCACATAAAAATAAATAAAGGGGGCTGGGATTGTGGCTCAGCAGAGAGTGCTCGCCTAGCACAGGTGGGACCCGGGTTCGATCCTCAGCACCACATAAAAATAAAGGCATTGTGTTTGTCCATCTACACCTAAAAAATAAATATTTTAATAAATAAATAAAGGTTAAAAAAAATCTCCCTCTTTAAAAAAAAAAAGCAATTAGGACCACTGGGCCCAGTGACGCATGCCTGTAATCACAGCAACTTGGGAGGCTGAGGTGGGAGGATCACAAGTTTGAGGCCAGACTCAGCAACTTAGCAAGACCCTGTCTCAAAGTAAATAGGGCTTGAGGATGTAGCTCAGTGTTGGAGCACCTCTGGGTTCAATCTCCAGTACCTACCCCCCAACAAAAAAAAAGATTAAGATCAGATACAGGGGACTGTCTGCTGTATTGACTTTCCTTGGGATGGAGCTGGAGTCTCGTATAGAGAAAAGACCATGTGAGGATACAAGGAGTCCTAGGAAGAGAAGCCTCAGAAGAAAGCAATCCTGCCAATCTTATACTT